TTCAAAAAGCGAGAAAGTGTCGGGTGCAGACCATGCACCACAAGTGACGACGGCCTTCACAAAATGTTAATGTTTTCTGCCAATGAAATGATTAGCCTGTTGCAGTTGTATTCTATCGATTGTCACTAATTACAGCTATCATTTACAAAAATCAGCTATCACTATGAACCACTTACTACCTCAAGATTTACTTGGGGGCCGTCGTCTTTGTGGTGTTTGGTCTGCACCGACACTTCTTATTTCTGAATGGGAAGGTAATACATTCATGGTAGTGTCATGTGCTGGCTGGGTGCTGCTATTGGACCTATTCACCTATTCCAAACTATAGGTGTTTTAGACAGCGTTTTATCACCTTACCCAGACATGTGCGCAACTGACCAACCATTCGGGTTAACTGAGACTTGGTCAAATTCATTTCCGCATGTGATGATTATTTTGCGACGCAGAACGGCATGGTTGAACTCGGACGAAGTCCATCCACAAAATCCCTACTCCGTTCAGTCCTCCTGACGAATCCTAAGCGAATTTGCCTCCTACAATCTTCAATCCAAGACATCTTCAATGGGACGGAGAAGTAGGGGTTTTGAGAACTGCTGCAGCTCCCAAAACTTCTCCACATTTCTTCAAGAAAGATTCAACTTAAAAATTCTTTTCTCGGCCTTCCTGAAACCACGAAACTTTTCCGAAATCGCAATTCCGATCCTCCCCCTCTCTCTCCCTTCCCCCTACCTCGGAAATTTTCCCATGAACTACTGATTCTACCTGGAGCATCCCATCGCTGCACCATGGAGACATACTCAGCGCATTAGGTCAACTCTGTGCATTCTAAAGAGTTGAGAGGCCTTCGAAAGGCAGGGATGAAAGTCATGAAAAATTATTTCATTCAAAGGCCCTGCTGATTTTAGCGGCAGCATACACATCGGGTTGATGTCAATCTGGCCAATATTGACCGCTCTTCTCCTGCCTATCCCAATAGGTGTGGCTCTTTAGTGAAACTTATTCACGCTTCTTGCTGCTGCAACATGCACACGTGAACGCTTGCACCTTCTAACCTTGGCTTTAACACGATTTGCCTTACCATTAGACCTCGTTTTTGGTACTGCTCTTGAAATATATGCCACTGACTTGCTTTCCAAACTACTCTGCTACTTCTTTCTTGCGAATTCGACCCTTTTTGAAGTTTTCTCGGTCCGCAGCTTACATTTGATTCCATGGCCGCGCTGAAATCTACTCTATTTTTTGAGAACATGCTTGAATCTTCTTTCATTTTTGTTATCCGAATCATTAATGCATCATACATGAAGTTTACACAAACATTAACAAAAGCCAAGTTATGACCGTTAGAGAGCTTGTCCTCTCGGCCAATGCTTTTTCAGTTCGAGATCCAATTCTCAAACATCGCTAAGACGGTTTGAATATTCTAATACTTAGAAGGTGTCAGCTCTTATCGGCCTGTGACTCTACGTGTTTCAATCCATAAGCGTAACTCCTTCAGTTGAAACACTGATTAATTGATCATTATTCAGTGGGAGGGCAAGGTGATGTGGTGATCAAAGGTGCCCAACTAGGGTCTATTTCAGTTAGGGGGGCATCCTGATGCAGATTCTCGGCGAACTAGAGAGCCTTTCGAATACATTCCAGCTTTTCACTTGCTGCAGTGACTGCATAGATTGCCTATACTCTCCTGGCTGGAGTTTACCCCTGCTTTCTGGAAAAAACTGCAATCATAGATGCCCTTAACAGGAATAGACATAACCGCTTCGCTTTTAATCTGCTCTCCGAAGAGGTCTTGATTGTGTGAGCCCAATTGGTTTCAAACGATTCCAAATGGAAGTAGAATGCATGGTGCATGACAGAATTCGGATGAGCGGCAGATGCCGTAATATTTCCTATCCCTTGTATATTGTGTAGACTGTGATCCTTAACGATTTGTTTCACTTTTTTCGATTTCCCAGGGAAGGAGTCCCTAATCCTGGTCCACACCTACTTCGTCTCTGGTGAGGGTGCTGAGAAACAGTATCACTGTTGTTTGAACATTGGCTCATCACCTCTCACAAGGGAGGTCTTTCAGGGCAAGGTGCGCTTTTTGGAAACGGTTTAGTACATGTTGTAGGGACGCATGTATGGACCACAAAACCATGTTTCGTTTTCGCTGAACGGTTTTAGTAGTACCAAAAAAGTGGTGAATAATACTCTTGATGGTTCAATCCCCGCGGCGACTAAATTTTGCAATCAAGGTTGGCGGCCACTTGTTGGCTTCAAAATGGTCCTGACGATGAATTTGACATCTGATTTTGATATTTAGCGCGATTTGGCACCAAACCGTAGGCGCCAACCCAAATGCAAAATTTAGTCGCCACGGGGGATCGAACCCTTAACAGTACCTTATGCTTCTTTTTTGGTACTGCTATAACCGTTCAGCGAAAATGAAACATGGTTTTGCGTTCCCTACATGCGTCCCTACAATATGCACAAAACCGTTTTGAAAAAGCGCACCTTGCCCTGAAAGACCTCCCTTGTCAGTCCGACTGTTACTAGTGTTGATCCCCTGAAGTCACACAGTGCCGAAATGCATAATTCACATAAAAATATGCTCAGCTGTCAACCTATTCACATACGCCCCATTTATAGTCCAACCCATGGTACATTCCGGAAAAGTTGATCATCATTATCAACGCCGTTAGCAGATAATCGATTCCTAAAAATTGTAAACTAGAACTTGTTGAGATGTTTGGGATGCGCCGCGCTTCTGATATCTGCCAAATGTCGCAGAGACGGTTGATTGTAGATTTTGTGTATACATTGACTTTCGGTGGGCCATTGGATCCTAATAATGTGGTTTTATTCTCTCGACCAGAAACAGTTCACATGATGGTATTCGGAGGACCAGATCGATCTAACCCAGATTCAACCCAAGGATTCTGCAAGTGCTGATAAGCGCTTGATATCAGTACGACACCTCTGTGCACTAGTTTAACATTCAAAGTAATCACAGCAACTTATCTCAGATCAGCCGTCTTTTCTATAACGAAGGAATGTGTTGAAAGAATGCCTATTGATTGCGATACTCAATATCCGCTCGGATACCTTTCGCCGTCGTCGCCACGGCTTAGCTGATCTTGTCGATGTTTGCGCACTTAAAGTGCCGTGTTCGTATCCTTCCAGGCTTCAATGTTGCTCTAGTTTTTCACAGTTATTTTCTCAACCTTCAGTGTGGAACCTATTCTCTTCGTTAAGATCAGATTTCAATAGCTTATGCACATAACCAACACATATTTTGGCTTTTTTCACCTTTAAATACCTCGTCTGTTCATGCCTTCTGTACAAGTCTCAGACGATACCTTCTAGGGGAACGATCACCATCTTGCAGGTATACCGAACACCTCTATAAACTCCTGAGGGCTTACATCTAACCGGAAATTTCCGCAATCAAAGCCCATCTACCGAATTTATAACATTAATATGTGATTTTATTTCGCAACTGGAACGACTATTGGCTGATTTTTCTGCCTCTATACAAAATTTTGCAAACGTGAATGCACATTTCCAAAAAAAAGGCAATATTACATATGGGAAAAAACGCATCAAATTTTTGCTATCTCCTACCCTCCGCCAAAACCGCCAAATGACATGGTACTACATAGGAAGTTTGACTGGACCCCTGTAGCAGGTCGAACTGTGAAATGCTGACCGAATGGTAGCAGCGCCCCTTTCCACTACACTTTGTTACGCACATCCCATGTGATGTAGTAGATTTGCCGACAAGAATCACATCTTTCTCTGACGTACATAATGTCAACCCGATGTTACCTAAACAATTGTTTGCTCTCTGCGAACCCACGACGCTATCCCTTCAATCTAACTGATCACACACTCATTCGATATGCGACCTTCGACCCGACCTGCAACATGCGAAAACTCGTCCACTACCATTGCTGACTCCTGTGGATGTTTTACACTATCGAAATACTTGTCCTACAGTGCCGCAACAGTTTTGTGGAACGAGTCCCGACCGGCTGGACTCCTCAAGCACCTCACCAGCGCTATTTCTTGGCCTTCAGCAGTTTCAGCGGTGATCGGTGATCCGATCCATTTAATCACCGAAGAGCCTTGGGCACTATTTGGACTTCAGGTGAGGTAGACTGTAAATCTCTTTTCCAAGGCTATCTTATTCTAGAGAGACGGTCATTCGTTGATATTTCGAAGTAGTGATCAACTTGAATCTGCAAAAAATAGAGAAAATGATTCCTTGACGGAAAGGGATATTTTATTTACCTAGAAAAGACAGGAGCTGAATTTGCTGGGTCTGTGCGTACTTGAAAAGTGAGGGACCTTACTAAGAAGATTTTTCCAATTCTATATTTATTCATTGTACCTTAACTGTCAAAATAGACTAAATAAATAAATAAAACTCGATTGAGAAGTTATCAGCGATTTTGTTACTGGCGCCAGTTTCCTTCTCAGAAATTGAGGTGATACTAATCTAATGAGCTGCTGCTCTGAGTCTAAGCCAGCTTTCGTCGATTTTCGTACTTTGCCTGCGCTGTCTAATGCTTGTTAGCTTTTTTGGAACTTACGCATTCGCCAATGTGCCGAAGTCGATATATCGCGATTTGGCAGCTGTCCATATGGGATGGAGCAATGTCAGGCTTAGGCCGATGTCAGACTTTGCGAATCGCGCGATTCGCTAGCGTCTGCGGTCGCGTCGCGGCCAGTGAATCACTCAATTGGCTGGTACCGCAACGCGACCGCGGACGCTAGCGAATCGCGCGATTCGCAAAGTCTGACATCGGCCTTATGATGTCAAGGCACCTGCGTCCGCGGTCGCGTTGCGGCCATACGAATAGAGCCGTCGATTTGGTTTGCTACCACAGACGCGCCACCGACTCTCTAACGATATTCGTCGATTCAAAGGTTTGCATGGGGCCCGGTGTTGGAATATAGTTTGTGTGTCCATTTGTCCGAGTCCATGTAAAGCTGTCCCATTTAAGGTCCTCGTGATGGTATGTGTGTGCTGTCGTTGTTGTGTCTGTTGTAAATGTGGACGTGCCGTCGTGTCTGATGTGTCCAGTGACGAGCCGTACGATATCCCCGGCGCCAAACATATCCCAGTTCCCGTTTATGGGAAATCGCGTCGAAAACACGTGAAACATACGCGATCCTCTTCACATGAAGTCGCCGGCTCCAGTGGTACGAACGTCATCGATGTAAAATGTGGTCGTGCTGTCAGTGCGTTGTCGTTCTGGGATGTGCCGTTGGATGTGGATGTGGTGCCGTTGGACACTAAACCAGTTACCGTATCCGATGAGAGTTTGCCGTGGATAGACGACAACTCACAAGATGATGCTGATTGTTGCAGGCAAAAACAGCGGAAACCCGGTTTTAGACCACTAAGAGGATCCTCAGTTCCAGTGTAAGTTTCGCGATCTTCGTAACAGCTGTCCAGTTTTGACCAGTTGTCGCGTTTTTTTCAGAAGCGGTACGCCGCCCGAGCATTCACCGGTAGCCAGCGATTCGACACGACGACGACGACGAAAGCACAAGAAAATGGATAAGAAAAGCAGTGGCGGAGGATTTTTCCAGGTATGCGATCGATAATCGACTGATATTGATTGCTGGATAAGGGGAGAAAATTGTGTATTATCACAGGTTACTCTTCTTGCGCAAGCTTGTTTCCCGATGACCGTTGTGTACCCATCGAAGCGGCGCTACCGAAGAATAAAAAACAGCTATCCAATTACCGTAATCCCGTAAACCCCTCTGGGCTACAAAATGGTCTTTAACCTCGAGTCTTCTTTCATGGTTTTTTTTTTCGCGACCAGTGTTCCAATTTGAGATTGATTGCTCATCGGTTCGGCGCTGGTTGTTTGAACAGGTGGTAACTGAGGATGTGCTCGCGTAGGTTGTTACTAGTGATATTTTGCCACGGATAAGTGGCCGAAGCACCGTAGTCTTCCAAGAATTAGTGACAGATGAAGCTCGTAGCCTCTTGAGAGCCACATGCCGATGAATCCAAAGAGTTAGGCTCAAGAACTCCTCTCGCAAAGGCCAATTTTTGACAAAAAAGCAACAAATTTCAGAGAGCTTTGAAACCGTGTAAATTTCTCATAAAAATTACAATGAAAAAACGACTAGAAAATGCACTTCGATAGTAGAGGAGGGAAAAAATCACCAGAAAAATACTCCGAACTCTGATCCCTGAAAGAGTGTGCAGTACCGACCAACGGTGTGCGCCAGGGCTTTCCGCGCGTTAGTTTTTTTTTTCATCTTGAAAGTTTTTCACGATTAACTTGATGATTTTTGTCTTCAATTATCTTATTTCTTAATAGTGAAAAGTCAAAAGCAAAAATATGGCGTATCAGTATTAGAAAGAATCCAAGTAAAAAATAATGCACCAAAAATTGTTTCGGCGAGACTTTTGACCCTCACTATAGATAAGAGCGTAGATATAATAGATATGAGCGAATCGGGGATTTGACGTGATTGCGTTGTTGAGTTTAGAATTTATCCAAGGAGTGCAAGAAGGAATATAGTAGGGCGGAGAGAAGCAAAACCTATAGAACGCTAAATGTCTTTTTTTGTGACTGACATGGTATCTCGGAGAGACACCTATCGCTGCTGGAGGGGGAAAAGGCGAGGTGTGTGCCAAGCTTTTTGAAAACGGTCTTCTTGCATGATATAGGGGCATGCGGGAACCACAACCATGTTCAATTTTTCCTGAACGGCCCTCTGAATACCAGAAAAGGAGGTCCCTAGTTCGATTCCTCGTGGTGACAAATTTTTGCATTTCGAGTTGACGTTCCAAAATTCGCGCAAAATGGAGTTAGCATGAATAATTAGTACCATATTCATGATTAGGACCGTCAGTAACCCTTAAAATAGACTTTGATTAAAAACTGGTGAAAAAGGTGTGACACCACAGGTGGGCCGTTATGTAATAAATTATTCATGCTTAACTCCATTTTGCGCAAATTTTGAAACGTCAACACGAAATGCAAAAATTTGTCACCACGAGGAATCGAACTAGGACCCCTCATTTTCGGTATTCAGAGGGAAGCCGTTCAGGAAAAACGGACCATGGTTCTGTGGTTCCCACATGTGCCCCAATGTCATGCAAGAAACCATATTTTGAAAAGCTTGGCACTCCTAACGGCCCCATCCCCATTAGTTTGCGCCGTGCTCGCAATTTGAACGTCGCGACAGTGTCGGGCTCTCTCGGGGGACCCTATCTATCTTTCTCTATCTGGAAAGAACCGGCTTTTGATATCTAATCTCGCCTAGTAGCTTTGATTACTTACTCCACGATTAAACTGGAGTACGATAAATGCTCGCAAAAAGAAGAACGCCTGCAAAAGAAAGATAGTAAAAACGTACGAAAAAATATTTTATTGTCGAGAGAATGCGCGTATTTGTTCGCCTTTTTTTATTTGCCAAAGATCAAACTGCTCTTGTCTCTAGCTCTAAATCCATAAGATTTCAGCGCTAGTAGATTTCTTAGTGGCTCCTTGTGCTATGAGGCATTCAGATGCCAGTACTGAAAGCCTGGCTCAGCATAACTGCGTGAAAAATAAGGGAACAAGAGAAGGGAAAAATTTTGGAGAGCCTTTCCTGAGATGTTGATTGTTAATGAAAAAATTTTTTGGGACATTTTTCGAAGTTAACACTCTTCTTACCACAGTGCTGGATAATGTAGACTGCTGAGCATAGGTATTAGTTCTCCAGGAGAAATTCTTTCCCCTCGTTTCCCAATCTCATTCCTTCTCTGTCCTCTCCCGGATCGTTTTGCCCCCATGACAAGATTCAGAAAAAGCTTTAAGGCAGTTTTCATGATTCTACAATGGGGTTAAATTTGGTGTTCATAAAACTGCAAGGGCCCTGTGGCCAAAAAAATAAGGGAGAACGGCAGAAGCGAGGATGGTAAAAGACCTTGAAAGATAAACAGACCGAAAGGCACTAGGAGCCGAGGCGACAGAACGGCAGACGGGACAAGACAGCTTGGTTGGGGAGCGAAATACAGAAAGCGCAAAGATGGGCGTGCGTGGGTGCTTTGAAGCGTCCAAAGTTGCAACATTCGATGCCACTAACCATAAGACCCCTTTCGCGCTTTTAAGAAGTGAACATGGCACAGGGTTGCGGACCCTGCGAGCTTATTCACAAGAGGGACTGACATAATGACTTAATCACGGAACATGCATTGAAATGGACTGTTTTCAGCGCTGGTTCGGTGGTACAGAACGAACGACTCCGGAACGAGGACAGACAGTGTCACCACCACGGGCAATGTCGCCAAATCGTGACGAGAACGACTACGCGACGATCGACCGGATCCGATACGGAAAGAGGGAGTGTGAGTTCATTCTCTCATTCATGGGGAACTTTGTGGGAACTTGAATGGATGCAGAACAAAATCGAAAAAAAAGTAAATGTGAGTACCATGGAGTAACAATGCGTGGATGTTCTATGAACTGGTAAGGGTATTGGCCACATAACGAGACAGTTGAGTGTTCCACAAGCCGAGGGCTCTTTTCACAGGCTGCTAACATTTGCGTTGTTTACAACCAGCTCTGTGCAGCGAAAAGTATAAAGAAACATACGAGCAAGTCGAAGTCGAGTGCCAGCGACGTTATCTGTCCAGCATCTCTCGAACGCCAAGGTTTACTTGATGAACAGCTCCTATACGATAGGTTGGCATGAAACAAAAAATCGAACACAGTGGTTAGCTGGTGTGGCACTGTGAGGGCGAAGAGGACAAGCCCCAGCTCCCACTACGTGCACGGATCCCTTGCGCTCGAGTGCTTCCTGAAGCATCACACGGCGCCAGGTCTTGACGCAAAATAGCTCGTGTAATTGCTACTTGACATCAAACCCTTCAAATTAAAAATTGGGCTGTTCAGGTATTGAGGCGGTTGAGGGATAAATCTTACGTCAACCTGTACAAACTGTAATCCCTGTTCACTGAGTTCCAAAACCGGAGTAATGATGTCTCACTTGTCCCTTGTGCGTCTCATGCGTGCCACAGTATTCCAGTTGGTTCGCTGAAAGAAGGGCAGAGGGTTTGGTAGGCGGGTGGGTAGAAACGGAAGGAAAGCAGGCGGCGAACCGCACGTAGCTGATTATAAATAACAAACCTGTTCCACTGTGGCATAGATGGGTGCAGATGATGATCGAGATTGCATTAAAGCGCTGCCTAACGCACGGGCACCGGTTTAGCATCCTAATCCTAGATCGAATCTCGCAAGTAAGCTTCGCTTATCTGCGGGCAAGGTGCTGCTAATGTGCTATAGAATTGATTCTGGGTTGGTGGGGGAGCACTGGTCTTGATGCAGTCTTAGACTAGCTTTTTGATAGGCTAAAGCGATGGCACTGGCGCGTACCAAAAAGGGATGCAACCAGCGACTGCAGGCCTCAATGCCTCGATGCCTTTCTGGCTAAACGCCTGAAAAGTTTCCTGTCCTGTGAGTCACTGGAAAAGAACTAGTTGCGTTAGGCAATTCGATCCCCAGGAATCATTTTTGCGGCATCCGCTTTGCGCCAACTCCCGGCAAATACGATGGACACATTTAACTAGACTAGCAAAAGCAGCAGAAAAAATTAAAAATAAAAAAAATAAAACAGTTGCGAACGGGTGCGTACAATGATAGGTCATTCGTTTTTCTAGCGGCTCGTTAAACGCTTCTCGCCCACGTAACAGTGTAACATGTGCAACGAAATGCACTTCAACGCTTGTCAAGTCAGTATTCAGAGCGGCAACTGGAATAGGAAGTAAGGCGCTAAGTGGTCTTGCAGTTGGGGGGGGGGGTTACATTCAGTTATGGAGCCATTTATAATATGTATTTGGGACTAAGCCTCAGGGAGGAGAAGAATAGATCCTGACAAGTATATTGAGAACTTCTTTCTCTGCCCGGGTGCGAATGCCCCCGTGTCCTCGGCGTTTCCGATCGTTCGCAGTTCTCGAAATGCGCCCTTTAGATGTGCCGCCTAAGGCGTATGCAAACGCCGCAGAAAAATAGCTAAATAACGTTTTTAACTTTATGTTTATGGATAATTTAATGCTTAACTAATTTGGGCCACTTACTATTATGAAGGCGTCCGAGCAAGTGCCCGAGAATACACCCACTGGCCTGTCTGACTCGCGGCTCCTGTGAGCGAGTTCCTCGTGGGTAAATCACACATCTTGTGAAGAAAACAAGCGAATGGTAGCTATCTACGCTTGAGAGTCAGTCGAACAGACATAATGGTTGTACTTATGTTCAGGATGGGGTGAAGAGGAAGGTGGATCGTAGTTGCAGGGACCAACTGCATGTAAGTATACAAATATTGGATTAGTAAAGATTAGTATAAGATTTTCAGCGGACAGGAAAATGCAAAGTTCGGGGTTGAAGGTAAGCTTCTCCAGCCCCTTTTTCTCCGTCACACTCGATGGACTATGAGTATTTGGTGCAGATACATAGAATGGGTTGCAGATAAGAGTCAAGAAAGTATCGCGGAAGAACCAGGAGCGATTCGTTCCTGAAGCCTCTCGAGGGGAACGAGGCGTCGCAGGTTGACGCCGAAATTTCTCCAACGCAATTGGCATACCTGTTAGTGATCTTGTTAGTGAGGGTTTTACGAAGTCTAAAAGTTGGAGTGGGGGGAAATGGACCCTAGTGAAAAGCAGCGTGTGTTTATGAAATTGAGCAATTCGAAGGAAGGACATGCTCACGGCGACCTAAAGTGGCCCTCTCCGCGGCGCCATCGGCTCGACACGCCCCCCAGCTGATTTTTTTCGCTAAAACTCGCGCGCAGGCTTCTGTATGTGAAAGTGAGTTAAACAGAGATAGAGAGGTTGAAGAGGGCAGCACCGACGAGAGGGTCGCATCGTTGCGAAAAACACGGACAAGGAAGGGTCCGATTTCTTGGGTTCTGGTCTAATTGTAAACTCCGCCTTAAAGTTGCATGGTAAGAGAGTCCTATTGATGTCGTCTAGATGACATCATAAGCTGGCAAACATGCTGCACAACTGCAGGAATATTGATCTGCTCAGGATGCGTAGTTCAGTGCTACCCTGGAGCAGTTCCGGAACTAATGTTACTTTAAACTTTTTACACTGCTAGATTTTTTGCGAAACATCAGTATCTACATTTCCACCATTTTACAGCTTCTAGAAGGAGTCTCTCAGGCGTTCACGAGATCGACTCAGTATTTCAGTAATGAAACTAGTGAGCGCTCTTTATTGTCTAATTGATGATGAGAACAACCGTGCAGAGCTGATCTATTTCTGACGCCTGACAGCTGCCTGATGTAAATAACAGCGGCTGCCACGGAATCTTCACATTACTAAGAACACCTCCAGGTGCTGTCTAGGAAATTTCCCAAAAAAGCCGAAAATACTGGAAGAGTATCAATAGATAATAGATCAGTATCGATTTTTTGAGGACAGAAATGCTTGTGAAGCTAAGCACCGCTTGTGTGGCTGATTCCTCAGCCATTGTGTAATTTGAATCCGGCAGAAAGGTGCACCTGTAAATACAGACCAAGCAACACAAATGACGAAGACCTTCAAGAAGAATCTGATAATTGATAGTTTATAATAACAGCTAATAACTGATGAGTGATAGTTGTAACTGGTAATAATTGATAGAGCACAACTGCAGTCGACCAATCATTTTTTAGCAGAAAATTATCACGTATTGTGAAGACCGTCGTCAGTTGTGTTGTTTGGTCTGCATTACAGATGCACCTGACTGCGGACCCGAATTGTGTACGAGTCAGAAACGCATTCAAATACCACTAAGCTTGTGTATGGAAGTCAGATGCATGCCCAAAAAGGAATGAATGGGGACATACAAACCAAAGAAGCTCTTATAGCGCTACCCTCTACAGGTTTTCGTGGTCTCCCCAATCGTTATCGGTTTTT